TTAAAGACGATCTTGTCCTCGTTGACTCTGTATTATTACATTCTTGTCTTTTCATCAATACTGTATACCACTACAATACAAACATATTGATAAAAATGCTCTAGAAAGTTCTATTGGCACGACCAAGTATAAATATTAACTTCATAATTGAAAAAGAAAGTAAATTACAAATATTTCGAAGATGTACAATCAAGATTTGAGGAAAACGTGTAAACATCTCTCGGAATTGTTACTCCATGCTTAAAATTTTGTGAAATTTGCCTTCACAACCTCAAACTGCTAGCTCCGCCCCTGACCATATATTACTCCAATATCTATAAAATAAATATTAATTTTTGATACTATAACTTTTAAAAGGCCATCTATTAATATAATTTAATAGAGAACAAATCTGAATTCTAACCAAATAAACAGTAAATTAAAAAGAAACGAGTCTATAAAATTATGATATATGTATCTCTATAGTGTCGAACTATTTCATATTATTTTCAGTAAAATATCATATAATACTTAAATGGTCTTGTAAAAAAATTATATTATCGTACATTACATTTTCTCGTCCTACAATTCCGTGCGCTAAAAAATCTCTTAAAATTAGGTAAATTTCATATACTATCAATGTACTTTTTTGCAAATGTCAATTATATTCACTAAACTACAATTTAGTTTTAAATTTCACCACGTTTTCAACTATTGTCTACGAAATTGAAGAAAATTACTTAACTAACAGTCATACCATAATACAATTTTCACGTAGATTTTTCAATTTGTCATTACATCGAGTCATAAAAAGCGTTAAGAATTAATACAAAAATGCACACATTTTAACCTCTAAATCTAAAGGAGTTATCATAATCTTTATTTTGCTATTTTTATTTATAGGGTGTTGTATGAAAATTACGTGAAAGTACAAATAAGTAATTTCTATAAGTTTGAGAATGATTGGTGATGAGACTAAAGTTCAAAATTTAGCCCATATTGGTGGAAATTAAAATCAAATTTTGATAATGATGAAATGTGTGAGTAGAGGTCTCACGAAATATGTGGTTAAAATTAATTATAGAATTTAATTTATATTAAAATCTAAATTTTAATTTTTATCAAATTCTATATGTTTGGTTACTCGATTCAAATATTTTATTGAGATCACTTTACTCCTCACAGTTGAATATTTTGTCGTGGTAGTATAAAAAATCCATGTCGAAATCTACGCGGGTAGAAGATTGGTATATATACTATGATGCTTGTATTTTTATTTATGGATAATTGCAGCAGAAGCCCCAAACCTTTGAGACACTAGTAGACTTTTTTCAACCTTTCAAAAGTTGCATCGTCACCCCAAACATTTTCAACAGTTGCATCACAGGCCATTTTGGACGATTTACATCCATATTTCTGTTAGTTGACTAAAAGAATGAGTTTGACCATTCTTTTAATAAATTTATAAATGGTAAAATAGTATCTTTCTATTTACTACATTAAATAATTAAAGTAAATAAATTCGAAAACCAAAAAAAAATAAAGAAATAAAGAAAAATAAAAATATTTATCTCTTTTACCTAAAATCCTACACCCCACCCCAACCAACCCAACCCAACCCCAAACCAAAACCAATATCACCTAGTCATCGCCGACGTTGGCACCAACGTTGACGACACCGCAAACTGCCGCACACATATTCCTTCCACTTTTCACCCACCTTGTAAAACATATTCCTATTCCTCTCCAACCCTAACCCCAAAACCTAAATTAATACCATGTTCTTGGCCTGGATTCTTTGATTGTGGCATTAATTATTATATTAATTGAAGATAAATCCATTATAGTATGATGTTGTTGAAGGTTTCTACGTGACCAATTTTGTGAATAAACATCCCCAAACCTGTAAAATAAAGGATCTGTCGTGGGTATTGTCAGATTTGCCGGAATTATTAGAAAAAAATGTGCGGTCCTTGATGCTTTGGAGGACTGATTTTGATATATATATATATTGTTGTTTGTTCAATAGTATGTGAGGTATGTATTTGTGGTTCATGGTTGGTGGCCGAGGCTAGGAATAATTTTATAGTATGGGTTTGATTTTTGGTTGGAGGATGGGGGTGGCAGTTTCTAGGGATGGTAGTGATGTTGGTTTCGATGGTAGCGATGATGGTGGTTTGCGGCGGTAGTGATGGATGGGTGGAGTAGTGGTGTTGGAGCTCTACGGTGACGTCGGCGGTTGCAGACGTGAAGGGTGTGATGGATTTAGGTAGAAGAAAATTCAGCTTTTCCATTTCAATTTTTTCCCTTTTTTGTTATTTAATTATTTTAATTCTTTAACGTAATAAATATGGAAGTACCATTTTGCCCTCATTGACATTGATTAAAAATGTGGTCAAAATTAATTTCTTGGATCAACTGACGGCAGACCGAATGGAAACCGTCCAAAAGGGCTGTGATGCAACGGTTGAAAAGGTTTGGGGTTACGGCTGCAATTTTTGAAAGGTTTAGGAAAAGTCTGCTAGTGTTTCAAAGATTTAGGGCTTTTGCTGCAATTATCCCTTTTATTTGTATATATAGCCGCGTTTGGTGGTGATCTTTCGTTATACGATAAATTCTCTGTCTAATCCACTTTTCTCCTTCTTAAATGGTTCGGCCGATCTTACCGTATTTTTACCGATTCGTTCAGTAGTCTTTTGAAATTCTCAAATCGATTTATCTGTTGAGGATTAGTGCTGTGTGTTGAGTTTGATATAGAGGGAAAAAAGCTAAAATTAATTTTGGAAAAGTGAATCGGAGAGCATCGAACTATGCATTCGGTGCCTTCTAAGGATCCGGTGTTGTTCACGCACCCTTTCGTGTCCTCTTTCTATGGCGGATCATCTTCTAATCGTCTGAAACATCTTCAGAAAAGTGATCGGCGCGGTAATATTAGTAGTTAATATTGGCTTTTATTTTGTTGCTCTTAAAGTCGGCTTCTTTTTCGAGGGTTTAGCTTTTGGAGGGTTTCTATCCCCAATTTTCAATCGTTTTGTTATATAATATTAGTGCTATCGATAATTTGGCGTTGAGCTTAAGCGATCCAATTTCCCGATCTGTTAATTGGATCTCGTCTTTCGAGAGCTCGGTTCAGCTAATATTTCAGAGGATTCTTGGGTATACAAGGTATTCACTTGATCGCATAGACATGTATCCCTGATTTGTATAGTTTCAGATTGTTCTGATTTGTGCTTTTGCAGATCTTTTCTTCAACTTTTAACTCTTATAGACGGATAGCTGTCCCACAAAATATGTCATCTTCTCAAGATATAAGCAGCCTTGATGAGTCATCAACAGATCCACCTGACTCAGCTTGTTATGATTCAGGATTTCTTTCTATGAACGATCTTAAAAACTGTTTGAACGAGTTTGAGATAACAACTCGTGCCTTCACTCCATCTCCTGAGGAGAATGATATAGGCAATGTGGAGAAGGAAGTTGAACATAATCAATCTCATGGGAGCAAATGGGACAGTTTAGCTTCTGAGAAACACTTCAGCAAGTGTTCCACATTTCCAGGTCCTGCATCACCTGACGAGCTTAAAAAATGCACTGCTGAAGAATTGTTGGATGGGAAAGAGAAGCAGGGTAGTGATATAACCGCTGAAGTCTCAGCATTGAATGGCGATGCCAAATCTGCTAATCACTCATATTCACGTTGCATATCCTTGCCTGTAAGTTTTACTTACCGATAGCTAGCTCTTATCAGATTCATTCATTAATCATTAATAAACAGATTTTCTTTTGACAATTGGATCCCTTCAAGGGAATATGAGTGCGGGTTTTTATCCAAGGTAGTTTATGTTAGTCTCTTTAAGATAATTATATTGATATGACAGGATTTGAACTGATAATTTATATAATTCATATGATGAATTCCTGGAAAGTAGTAATGGGGATTTTTTTATTTTTTTGGGTTTCCTGTTTCCATGACCATGAGGTATGCCATTTGTGTTTGGTAATATGCACAATTGTGTGTAGATGGGTGGGATTCTTCCATTTTGTTTAGCTTGAAGGGTGATCGTTAGGATTTGTAAAGAATTCTACCTGATGTAAGTACATTTTAGCATGTGATATTAATTACTGAGGTTGTATCCTGCCTTCATATTTTTAGTTAATTGTGTTTTTCTGATGTTACCAAATGTAATTAGATTCTTTTGCTGATCTTTTGACATCAGAAACACTATTTCTGGATGATCCAGGCGAGTAAAGCTTTTGCGCATATTTTGAATTTTGAGAATAGGAATATTTGTTTACACCAGTAGTGCAAGTTCTGTTTTTCGCTCTTCCAAGTTTCCATTTTGCCTTTCTTTCTGTGCCTTCAAGTATTTGGAACAGTGCTGGCAAATTCTGTTTCAGATGTACAGATGATCCTTGTATGGCGAACATTTAAGGGTTCAGGTATATAATATTGGAGACATGCATTAACATATGTGGTCTTTTTCCCCCCTTGACATTCTATTCTCAGACTCCTATGGAGCTTGTATCTGCCATGAAAGGTAGCCGTGAAAAGCAGGGAATACTGCCTAAGAAGCTTTCAGTGACGTGGGCCCCTGAGGTGTATGATCCAGTTCCTTCAGCAGTGTCGCACGTGGTATCAAGTAAGAACCATCGCCATCGCAGTGATAGCAGGAAGTACGGGAAGACCAAACAGAAGGGCGGTGGCAAATCTTCTCGAGGCAGCAAGGGCAAAGACAAGAAGCAAGCTCGGAAGAATGTTGGAAGTGCTAGTAGCAGGTCTTTCAAGTCATTGGATGATCATCACATAGTGCATGGTTTTGATGAGCCTCTTGCTGGTATTGAAAATTTTGATGTTGGCAGCCCAGTTGCATTCTGTGGAAGTAGTTTTCTTAAAAGTTCTGTTACCAACTTGCACTATCCAGTCACAGAGGCTACATGAGCCTTCATCTGAATCAATACGGCTTTATTTTCATTCTGCTGATGTTGTAAATATAAATAATTTAGTGAGGTTTTGTTGATCAGTGGAGCTTTTGAGGGATAGGAAAATATTTGTCTGATGGTGGAACTGCTATGTAAACTTGCTGAAGATTTCTTTTTCGTGCTGATCTACAATCTCGTGTTACTGTATAATTTTCNTATCCAAGGTAGTTTATGTTAGTCTCTTTAAGATAATTATATTGATATGACAGGATTTGAACTGATAATTTATATAATTCATATGATGAATTCCTGGAAAGTAGTAATGGGGATTTTTTTATTTTTTTGGGTTTCCTGTTTCCATGACCATGAGGTATGCCATTTGTGTTTGGTAATATGCACAATTGTGTGTAGATGGGTGGGATTCTTCCATTTTGTTTAGCTTGAAGGGTGATCGTTAGGATTTGTAAAGAATTCTACCTGATGTAAGTACATTTTAGCATGTGATATTAATTACTGAGGTTGTATCCTGCCTTCATATTTTTAGTTAATTGTGTTTTTCTGATGTTACCAAATGTAATTAGATTCTTTTGCTGATCTTTTGACATCAGAAACACTATTTCTGGATGATCCAGGCGAGTAAAGCTTTTGCGCGTATTTTGAATTTTGAGAATAGGAATATTTGTTTACACCAGTAGTGCAAGTTCTGTTTTTCGCTCTTCCAAGTTTCCATTTTGCCTTTCTTTCTGTGCCTTCAAGTATTTGGAACAGTGCTGGCAAATTCTGTTTCAGATGTACAGATGATCCTTGTATGGCGAACATTTAAGGGTTCAGGTATATAATATTGGAGATATGCATTAACATATGTGGTCTTTTTTCCCCCCTTGACATTCTATTCTCAGACTCCTATGGAGCTTGTATCTGCCATGAAAGGTAGCCGTGAAAAGCAGGGAATACTGCCTAAGAAGCTTTCAGTGACGTGGGCCCCTGAGGTGTATGATCCAGTTCCTTCAGCAGTGTCGCACGTGGTATCAAGTAAGAACCATCGCCATCGCAGTGATAGCAGGAAGTACGGGAAGACCAAACAGAAGGGCGGTGGCAAATCTTCTCGAGGCAGCAAGGGCAAAGACAAGAAGCAAGCTCGGAAGAATGTTGGAAGTGCTAGTAGCAGGTCTTTCAAGTCATTGGATGATCATAACATAGTGCATGGTTTTGATGAGCCTCTTGCTGGTATTGAAAATTTTGATGTTGGCAGCCCAGTTGCATTCTGTGGAAGTAGTTTTCTTAAAAGTTCTGTTACCAACTTGCACTATCCAGTCACAGAGGCTACATGAGCCTTCATCTGAATCAATACGGCTTTATTTTCATTCTGCTGATGTTGTAAATATAAATAATTTAGTGAGGTTTTGTTGATCAGTGGAGCTTTTGAGGGATAGGAAAATATTTGTCTGATGGTGGAACTGCTATGTAAACTTGCTGAAGATTTCTTTTTCGTGCTGATCTACAATCTCGTGTTACTGTATAATTTTCATTGAGCTTGTTGTCACTTAAGATGTTCGATTACTAGTTGGTAGTATTCATGTGCCTGTGATTATCAGAAGATTGCTAGCAGGGATGTAGCCAGAATTTCGGGCCCCCAAAATTTTTTTTAACTAAGAGGATTGAAAACGACGATTTTGAGTACCAAAATAAACAAGTTAGATTGACTGGTCAAAAAGACAATCAGTTTGCTGATACAAAAATAATATGTCCATCTATGTATGTGTCTAACGCTATACAAATTGAAAATATGAACGTTAGATGGACATAAAAAAGACAAAAAGTAAATTGCCTATCTATATAACAGATGGTAGAGATGATTTGGACATCTGAAATTGGTCTTTCCTTGTCTTTATCACTTCAAACTCGTCAATAAGAAAATTTAAAGGAAAAGTATCAACAACTCTTTCTCTATATACACAAGTATGGTACTGAACAAAAAATCATCTTCTATTCTATTACGCAACCTTGTCTTAATGACACTCATAGCTGAAAATGCACGTTCTGTAGTTGCTGTTGAAACTGGAAGAGTCAAGACAAGACAAATCAATCTATCAACAAGATTATAACTCATTGATTTTCTTGTCGATGCTAACAGTTGGCACACATCTATTGGATCTGGACTATTTATTTATTTAAGTAACTATTGGATCTTTTGTTTAGGTCTAAGATTTTTGTATGCTTGAATTTTAAAGTGTAAGTTATTAGGTCAATATTTATTAATAGAAAAAAATTCAAAATTTTGTGGGGGGGAGAAACTGAAAAATATATTACAAATTAACTAAGAATAGTAGATCGGCGGACAATGTTAGGGGGGCGGTCGCCCCCGCTATCTCCGTATCTGATTGCTAGTTTATGGTAATATACATGTGCGTCTTGTGATAGCACCGAGTTTGGTAATTGAGAATAAGTTATTTCATGTTTTGCTTGAACGCGTTTGCTGAAGGATAATGGATTTAGAGTATCTCCAAGACTCTTTATTTATAAATATTAGCATCTTATGTATTATATAGAGTATTTTTAAATTTAGAGATTCAAAATTTTTATACACTTCAACAAGCTCTTTATTTGGGCTCTTCATTTTGTTTTTCTAAAAAACTTCATCTTCATGCTCTTGTTTGATTCCCATTATTTCTAAAATACATTTTCTCTTATTTTCAATCATACATTGTTCAATAAAATAATATTATAAGCAATTCTAAAATTTTTTCTATTTTTCAATTACACATTCTTCATTAAATCACTATTTCAAAATGCATTTTTGTCAAAAAAAATGGGGCTCAAATAGTTTATTAAACACAATTTTTTATATGTTAATTAATCAATCAATTTAAATGTGGTTAGAATAATTTAAGTACAGCATTGAAATACGTGATTTTTAAAATGCAATCATTGTATACAAAGAAAAAATATTGATCCAAACACACACTACTTTAAAAAATTAAAATAGAGATCCTCTTAGAGCTCATTTTTAAGCATTGATTCTCGAAAATAAAGTATATTTTGTATTTATATATACTGTTGAAGATGCTCTTAGCTTTGATTTAATGCAAGAAAAGTGAAACATATTAGAGACTGTTCTCTTTGTGTTTCAGTTTTATATTTTGAGTTTTTCTACGTTGTGTACTCTGCATTTATTTTCACATAATCATAACTCAAGTCACAGCCCCATGCCAGTCCATTACCTGGACCATCACCTGTGAAAAAATGGAAAAACAAGTAAAAATCAAGGAATTGTGGATAGAAGAGAGAGACAAATTCCCAGAATTGATATACCAACTTGCATCCGCAACTAATCACTGTCTTGATGGAAAGCAAGTACAGTCAAGGAGGAGAACGGCACTGATAATACTATGAAAGACGAGAATATGATTTGACATATCACCCAATCTGTCTCTACAGTTTATGGCATAGCAAAATCAAGAAAGAACTTCCATTTCATGAATAACACAACAAAGCACGCCATTTCTGCATATCTATGAATCTTACCAATAGATATATGAATTACAACTGTTCCATGTATCTCCCCAGCCTTCTTAAGATAATTACTAGCTGCAACACTGCAACATTTCAAAATTCTCAAGACTGTTAAAGAAAAGAAAGTACCGGAAAACATGCTAAATGGGAGTGACCATAAAATGAGGGAAACAAAAGCAAAAAGAAGATGACTTGTGGAGAGACGGTTGTTTTGGTAAAGGCTAAAATCTGCAAACACAGATTTCTAGAAAACTCACAAAATTTCACACAAAAGTTTAGCTAAAATATCATAAAAAGCATTTGAAAACCCCCAGCCACAGCAGATGGAGAATTTGGGAACTATGTTGATATGATTTGCTTGATGGAAAAATGAAGTATTGTCTCATACCTATCGAATGGCAACGGCTGCCCACCATCCATTAGCAGAATATCTCCCAACGATATTCTGAGTTTGTTTGGATTAAAAGGAATTCCTGCATAACCAGCAGCACAAGCAATGCGTCCCCAATTTGGATCCCTACCATATACTGCAGCCTAATGACATAAAGCACGGGAAAAATACAGTGAGCCAGACAAAATAAGAAACAGCTCGAAGCATATGAGATCATTTGAATGCGCATAAATCATACCTTCATCAATGAAGAAGATGCCACTGATCGTGCAACCTTTGCTGCTTCAGCTTCACTGCTTGCTCCAGCTACTCTTACCTTCACGTAGTATTTAAAATGAGGAACACTCTACCGTGGGCACGAGGATATATTGCCCATGTTTTCTCAGCAAACACTATGCGCAATATCACCAATATCCAGTTCTATGTTGTATATATGTTCCTTGCTTCTTATCAAATAGCAATTCCTATCAAGGACTCGAACTCATTTTGGCTAGCCTTTTTTGTTATTAGGATGGATGCACTAACATACTAAAATGGCCAAGTCAACAAGTAGAGGTAGTGCCGATAGAAGATAATCCAAGGAAAGCATGACTGGGTGGTTGGTTCATGTTATCAGTTGACCCAAAGAGGCTCTCATTCATAAGAGTGACGTGATTTCTGTAGAGAAAGTTAGTGGAGGGAGGTTGATCAAAGATTCAGAATTAACATGGCTTGTTAAGCTTGCTTCTGATCTGTAGTAGATCTAACAATGAACCGAGCGGAATGGCAAAGAAGGGTTTGTGTAGCCAATCCAAATTAAATGCAAAAAAAAAGGTTATTTTATTCTATATTTTTTACTTAGCGTTTGTTTGGGAGAGAGATTATATGAAGTGAAAAATGAATTTATCGGAGAATGTGTGGTTAAAAAGTAAGGAAAATTTATAAGCCCACATGCAAAATTATTTTATTTCGGAGAATGTGATTGAAAATGAGTTTAAAGAAAAATAATTTTCAAATAAGCAGTGCCAAACAAATGCTTAGTATTGCAATGTAAATGGACAAAGGTTGGGAAAATTATGTCAGTAAAAATATCCATACCTCTATCAAGCATGTTGCCCCTTCGCCATCCCAAGCAATTGATTTTGCAAGACCTCGCATTACCTGAATAAAAAGAACATAAAATAATGCTAAAATTTATAGATCTCCATATATCATCAGATTGTACCAGTAACTCATGCAAAACTATCCAAAAGAACAACCAACATTTGAAATGTAGAAAGTGCGGTAGCTCTAAATGAAGGCACAAATCAGTAGAAGATTGACATCACATGTATAGAAAGTGCTGTAGCTCTAAATGAAATCACAAATCAGTAGAAGATTGACATCACATGTAAGGATTGATTAGTAGCACCCCTAGAGCACTGGGCACAACATTTCATCATAGTCCAACCAATTCCAACAATGAGCCATGCGGACTGGACTACTTGACGACCAGTATTCTCATATTAAATCATCAAGCCATCTGTAATTATCTACCTTAATACTGATAATAGCATGACAGTTGAAAAAGGAATGTCGAAATCGCCATAAGATAGCAATATAGCATAATACTCCATGATGACATTGTTGAAAAGACAATTCGAAACTCACTCCCAATAAGTATGAAAGTGTAAGATAGTATCAGAAGTGAGCGACTTAATACAATATAACAATTAAAAGTTTTACGAAGCAACATCTGTATCATTTTGCAGACTTGTCATGGATAAAAGAAAGATGAAAGCTTATAAGATATAATTATCGCCTATATTTTGGACTTCACTATGTAGTCATTATCAATACCAAACGAGGAGGGAGTGTGAAGATAGTTAAACATACAGCATCAAGACACGCTTGAAGATGTTCTCCCTCAGAACTATATAAAGAAGAAATTTTGTTTGATCCTGAAAGACCGCTAGCCAATGCAAGGACACAATCATTTGTGCTGGTATCTCCATCCACCTGCCGAACAAATATCCCGCCAAATGAAGCTTCGGATTACAAAATATAATTAGTTAAATTACTGGGAGACAATCAAAAAATAGTGAGTACTGACTGATACACTTAACAAATTCATAAATCAAAACAACAAATTAGATCAGGCAAGTCTAACATTTTGAATGATACCAAAAGGAAAATTGAATTTTAAATAAAACAAACAAAGTGCAGGATGTAGCTTGCTCTTGTTTGAGTTACAATACATTGCAGCTGGAGAAATACATCCAAAAGCAATATAAAAAACACCCAAAATTACAGAAGTGTCCAAAACCATTAAGGCAATATGATTTGCATGTTTTCTGGCTGATGAAGTCTAAAAAATGAGCACCACTTGCAGAGACTGAAATTGTATATCCTTGAATTTAGTAAATCAAATATTCCCTAGCACTTACATAAACAGAAGTTTATATTTGCAGACTTGGGGCTCTATCTAGTCCTACTTGTCACAAGTACCAAGGGTGAATGGATCAATCTCCATGTGCAATGTATCTCATATGTGCCAGGAACATAAAATGCATAAACAGATTAGAAGCCTAGCACTCCTCAATTTTTATGTATAGATTTCATGGAAAATGAGCCAGAAATGTATGACAGGTTGTTGCTTGCCGTGATTTGGTTGAAACTACGATTTACAGCAACCTGTACCATCTCTCGCCAAACATCACTTGTGACTGAAGCATCTGTTGTTATAACCTGTGAGAATTAAATCATGATATTGAGTAATTAAAACCGATTTCTGAAAACAGCTGAAGAAAGGAAATCACTGATGAAACCTACACCAAGCATTGTTGCCATGTTAGGGTGGATCATTCCAGAACCTTTTGCCATTCCCCCAATTCTTATACGAGTTCCTCCAACCTGAGTAAAGTGTAATTTCAATTAGAAAAATAATGTTTTACTATCCAGTTGTAGACAGAAAATTCATCATTCAATTAATAAAACTCTAAAACTTAGAAACATATGTTCATTTTCATTCAGACACACACAGCACCTGAATCTTTACTCTGCAAAATCTGTTTGAACACAAATGGGCTTGTTCATTAGCAATTTAGCATTACATGCAGGAGAACTTTAACATTGAGCTTGTCTAGATGTGTCAAATACAAGTTCTTCAAAAGCTAATGGCGGGCATGATGTAAATTCCAGGAAGTCAATTACTACTCAACACAAATGGCTTATTCCCCCACATGTTCAATTAAATAAAATAGAAGATTACTATTATCTCATGGCTCATTTAATAAATGAGCCTAGAATGAGCAATGCTGAAATGTGAAAGTTATTTGGAAGTTTAGAATATATTTGGGGTTTACTAATATGCCAAATAGAACATGCAAAATGAAGGCAATATTTTTAGTTGTATTATTGACTTTTTCAATTCCTCCTCTTCCATCTCCTATCAATTATATTTTGACGAATAACCATACTTTTAGATAGATATGGTAAACAAAAAAAAAATATGAAGCCAAGTTCTTGATATTGTTATCGAACAAAACAGCATATGAAACAAACCACGGAACAACCTTCAGGTCAGATATAACAGATTTGATGTGCCCACAGCAAAAATATCCTGTACTTGTACTTCATTGAGTATTATTGAATATGATCTCAATGACTTTAATGCAGTGAGAAGTCCTACAGTTAACAATTGATGTTTTACTGAAGAATAATCTCCCACACCAACCAATAATGTAAAGAACCCATCTACTGAAAATGAATGTAAACATTTTCACTATGTGAGTTACTCTAGCTTTCTCCTGCATTTGAGGTAAAAAAGAAAATGATGGTTTATGCAAGCAACATTTGACATTTCAATCAAAATTTTCCTCTATAAATCAAACTGATTGCTCGCTGTTGAACTACAGCTTCTTTCTTTTTGGCAAAGTGGGGAAGAGAAGATCAATAATGTTCCTCAAGTATAAGGTTTCCACATTGTCACCCCATCAGTACCCTTTTAACTTGTGCACAATAACAATTAATATTGGTTTCACCTGGAAAGTATCTCAAATTTCAATTCCAATGTTCGATAACAGATCAAATACTGTCTAACCAAGAATGTATAAAATAAACTACTACTTGACAGAAATTTCACACACACCTCAGACTCAATTGCAACACTCTTGCTTACAAGATCAGTAGTAGTTATTGCTACAGCAGCGGAGTATGCCCTGCAAATCCATAGAAGAGATTCAAAAATCTACGAGTAGAAAGATTATTTAAGCATAGGGAAAAGAAAAAAAAATCTATATTGATTTTAAAGATGCAAGAATTTAACTATAGATATACAGGGAAAATATAAAAAGGAGGAAGGGGGTGGGGCATGTACAAACAAAGGCAAATGACACAATCAACATGTGAAATCCTGTTTAAAATAATTAATCCTATATAATTTTAGGAACATGCGATGTAGTCAGTTTGCATAATGAGGAGGTCATAGGTCCATTATGGGGAAGTACCCTTCAACAGTTGATGATAGCAGATTTACTAAATTTGGAAGCGACTTGAGAAGAGACTCCTGCATAAGATGAAAAACACGTGTGATATGTCATAACTGCTATTATGCTATATGTCATGAAACAAACAATTTTAAAAAGTTTTCTCACTTGGTCAAATAAAGAAGAGAACTTGATGTCATCTGCACGTTAAATAAAAAATATAATACCTATAAAATACTTACACACTTACCTTCTTTATTCTTTTACCTATCACACCAGTGGATTCAATCAATACTTGCTCAGGATTAAATTGCAGCAACTGCAGCATTAGATATTTTCAGTTAAAAGGATTCAGGGAATATGTGAGACACTATATACAGAAATATGCATACCTCAGAGAGGGAATGAGTAACATTCTATTACATCCTGGTACCCTGCATCACCCTACAACAATTTAAAGTTATCTTAGTCTCAACACACTAAATAATATGTGCATATGATAACACACTGTTGAGTTTACTTGACAAAAATCCAAGTGATCTTTTCAGACAACAAGAATGTTTGAAATCCCAAGACATTTAATTGAGTTTCAGAAAAAAAATGATATTTTACCGTTGCTGCATTTGCTTGACCAGCATTTATTAGTACTGCACGAGCCTGAAAAGTTGCAGAAATGCATTAGTTATTTCTAGAAGATAGAAACGGAAAACAAATTAGAGACCATTCAAACTTGACAATAAAGTGTGCACCATTTTACCAGCCATGGAACCAAGATTTGAAACACAAAATTCCAACACACTTGGCAGCTATATGAGGACATTGAAAGACTAAATCAGTTGCCTTGAGACAAAATAATTAGGATTAATGCCCGAATTAGTTTCCCGACTTACCTCTCAATCTCATAGAAAAGACAAAATGCCACATACAGATAGAAAAAGCAAAATATATGGTCATAGAAATAGAATCATATGGTATTAAGCCTATGTTTGGTCCCCATTTTTTCAAAACATCATTTTTTCAAAACTCATTTTCAACCACACTCCTATTAAATAATATTACACGTAAATCGAATAGTTTTCCTTATTTTTTAACTACGCAATCTCCAACAAAACACTATTCAAAAATGCATTCTTTTGCCCAAAAATGGGGATCAAACAAGGGCTAAATATACTTAAATAGCTCAAACAAGAACACGTGATAATCATCTTTCAAGAACAGACAAGATAATCATCATAATTTCTGTTCTAAACTTCAATACGAGGTTTGTTGTTGAAAATTTTGATGTTTGCCTCTGTTACCTAATAACTAGTTACACCTTTTGTGCTGGGGTGGTAGAAAGAAATAAAAAGGAAACAGATACATTACAGTTTTGGCCACGAAAATGTGCGACTGTATGTCTGATTGCACTTGCAAAAGAAGTAATGTATACAATTTGAGATGTATATATACAAAAAATAATAATAATAATAATAAATGAAGAAGAAGAAGATGGCAACATGCAAAGGCAGGCAATAAAACCCCATTCAGTCTTAATCAACTAAACTTTTGGTTCACAGTGAAAGCAACATGTTGATGAGCAAGGAGAAAGAGAAAATATTACATGGTCACGGGGAATAGGAAAGGATACTACAATCTAGAACACCATTTTCCCAACATTAATCAACTAAACTTTTGGTTCACAGTGAAAGCAACATGTTGACGAGCAAGGAGAAAGAGAAAATATTACATGATCACCGGGAATAGGAAAGGATACTAGAATCTAGAACACCATTTTCCCAACATACCGTTGTTGAATTATCTAATGTTTTTTTACAGTATAGTACAGGAGCAGCTGCAACCACATTTGTAGTAAATGCCCCTGGAAAACCATGAGAGTGAAGGGTCAGAAACAGAAAACCAAAATTTACCGTAAGAAGTCGTTCCCTAAAAGTGATCTAATTAGATGCCACTGTGATATAAATTATGACCGTTCAACTAGAAGATAGGAATATTCTGAAACATTTGAGTAAACCAAGAATTATAAAGATGAATTGGAGCTAACCTGCAGACATAGCATCTACATCACAGGTTATCAGAGCGAGATCAGGCTTTTCTCCAACTGCGCGTAACCCTCCATACATCCCAGCAGCTTTGAAACCCTTTGCAGCAGTAACTCCTCCAGGGACCTAAAAAATTTAAGTCTTATGTCTTCAATACTTAAAATAGGACATATATGTCACATAATGTCATGGACTCTAGAAGTCCATTTGGCACAACTAGAATAAAAACAAACATCAACGCTACAATATTCACAAATTATCAACTCCAATACATTTCATAACCAAAACAGGATAACTTAAATCCTCACCTACCAAACCGGGAGCACCAACCTCCTCCAGGTATTTATAATTGCTGTATTAATAAAAGTGACTATTCATGAGGTGCAACAATCCTATGATCGTCTGCAAACTACTTGTCCCCCTCTCTCCTCATTTTCTTTGGAAATGTCAACAATGCTGTTGCAGAACTTATGTTGACACCAACATTTTTCTATTCTTCCCTCTCATTAAATAGCAAACTTTCCGTCTTTTACTTCTACTAAGCAATAACCGAATGGCACATTCCAAATAGAATAGAGATTAAATTTTATAAGAGAACAAGATCAGACACATAAACACTCACATTGAGACGAATAAAAAATGATCCAATGCATCCAGTGTTTGGAATCACCGTGATTAAGTCTCAACATTTGGAAATGTTCTTCACCTGCTGCCAGGGCCATTCAGGCAGTAATATTGGAGCAGCTGGTATGTAATTTGACGTGTCAGCAATAGATGAAGCTGCAAACATTCTGAAGTCTCTTTGGGAATTACCGGACAGGCCAAATGTCTGCAGAATACCTTTACAAACATTACCATCACTGCATATACTCAGATAACCGAAAAAATACAACAAAATGCAAACTTTAGAAATTTAATAACGTTCACAATGTCTTAATTCTTTACTAACTAAATCCATTAAGCCAAAAATTAAAACTAAGATATCCCTCATTAAATTTTTACAACATTATCATTGTTTTAACTCCAAAAACATTAGGAATGACACTGATAATCAAGTTTTAGTTTTACGTTTCTTTCTTTCTTTCTTTCTTTGTTTTTTTTTTTTTTTGCTGCATTTGTTCTCAATAGAAATTAATTGAAAACCAAGTACTGACCTTTGGTTTCTTGAGTTCTGAGAATTTGATGCAGACATGATGCGGTATACACAGAGACATTGTTATTTTACTAACTTTATTGCAATAAAAATCGAATAACAAAAATTATTGCTCAATTGCAGCCTTCTGAAAAGAACTATAAATAACTTTATTATGGCTGAAGCATGGGAAAAGAATTATGAAAGTTTCAAAAATCGGTTAACCGAACCTGGAGGCGGACTGAGCAGAGATACAGAAGGGTTTTACAAAACCTATCACGAGCAATGCACGTGATCCATATACAGATAGTGAGCATTCTGTCGTTGTACAACGTGCATTAGTTACTTGTACCATGCCCTTGCCACGGGAAAATATTTGACGTCAAGATTATATTTTCAATATATTTATGAAGTATTTATATGGAAAGAAAATATAACAAAAACGTGACGATAAATTTGTGCCTACTAAAAATTGTCTTTCTTTTTCCTTTTTTGGATTAGTAAGTTTTAGTAAGTTTTCGGGTTCTGTTTATGCTTCTGCTTTTTTAAAAGTGAAAGTTATTTCAAATTAACTTCATCTAAACAATTTTATAATAGACAAAACACTTCGAAAAATTATTAAACATTTCAAAAGCAATTTATTGGTCTCCGAATCACCTTTTGACATTTTAAAAGCCCTATCAAATTACCCTAACATTCTTTATTTCTGTTTTTAATTTTTTTCTTTGGGGTCGGGTGGGGTGTGTTTAATTTATATGAGTGTGTGTGGTTAATTTATTGAAATTAGACAAATTAATTAAAATTTATGTGGTATGAACTTGAAGATTATAAACCAAGATTTGTATAACTAATGTATCTCTTTTAATCATATTTATAGTGGACGAGAACTATGTTGATTATTAAAAACAGAAAGCAACAATAATCTTTGTAATTTGTAGGCATCGACTCAGAAGTTTAATTGTGTTCGTATCGTTTAGAATTGCATTGATTAATTAGTGTTAACTCCAGAGGCGGAGACTAGTATGGTCCAGTGTGGTCACAGGCCCACACTGAACTTTTGGGCTCGAATTTTTTTTTTTTGTTTTTTAGTTATATGTTAAGTTCCAACCCTAGAAGGAAGCCCAAAAATCACTACCAAATATAGCCCCAGCGTCCTAGGCCCAACCATATCAAAACCTTCGTGGATCGTGGTCGCCCATTTTTCTTCCTTCCCTTTCGTCCGGCTGCTCCATTTCACTCCCCAAATCCCACCCCGTCTTCTCTTCTCCATTTGCGTAGCCACAGCCTCCACTGCTCCATTTCAGTTCGCAGACTTTGTAGCTCTCGCTCGCAGACTGCTCCATTTCAGTTCGAACCCGTGACCCGTTTGCTCCATTTCACTTCGCACCCGCCTACTCTGCCTTCACCTGCTCCGGCCTCCGACCCTCCATTTCACTTCGCACCCGTAAGATACAAAGTTTTACCAACGGTTGAAATTTGAATTGATTGGTTTTGGTTAAATCATTTGCCGATTGCTTCTCTTTTGTGTTTTTCATCCTCACATAGGCAAAAATTGATTTTTCATCCTTACACCTTCTCTAGACTCTAGTTAGTCTTTTATGAATTGAAATTTGGGTATTGTTGTCTGTCGAGTAGAAGTTGGCAAGTTGCTGAAATTTGGGTATTATTGAATTGAAATTNCTACAATATATGATTGTGTTGCCAATGGGCACCCTCTTAATGAATGGGCATTGGCCGGCACTGAACTCTATGTAGCTCCGCCACTGTGTATGTGTGTGTGTGTGTCTATTATTAAGGTATTAAATTGATAAGTGATAAGTCGATACTGATAAATTAGTGATAATTTTTATGATAATAATTCATCACTCCTAAAAAATAAATTAGAATAATCAACTATTAATTGTATTAATCATCTTAAATCAATTTATTTTATGAGTTGGGCAGCCAATTGTAGCAAGAGAGAGACTTGAGGGGATGGATTGACAAAAAAAAACTCGTTAAATTTGATACCTACGGAGATGTGATGGAAATTACTCGTCTAATCGGGTAAACGAGACGAGGGCTGTCGCCTTGAAACAAGTATGGAATAAGGAAAACATGAACTATTTCTGTTCAGGACTCTGCGTTGAATACGTGTATTTCTTTTTGTTCATAGACTAATTTTGACCAAAAAATCTCCGCAGCTGATACCTAAAATTGTGCCTGCACTGGACAAATTCTCTGGCTCCGCCCCTGTGATCTAGGAAGGAGCAAATTTTGGCCAAACATTCTTTTTGTATACACTTACCTAGGGAAAAATTACAAGCACCACAGAAAAGAGAACTTTTTGCGTGCATATTAAAATGACCGCGTGCAAAAGAGGATTTTGGACATCGTTCCCTTCCCTTCCCTTTAGTCTATGAATTATGATAATTGTACATTCTTTGATTGTCTTATGAATGACATCCTGTGATGTGTGAAAAATTGTGTCATTGATTTGAATAAGTGATGTTAAAATCAATGACCCAAAGTGTTGCCACATCAAACAATGTCATCCATAATATCAAACTTAATGTGCCGTAGCAAAACTGTTAGTCTATGCATTGTCATAACACTAGACCAAAAACAAAACACAAGCACTGGGGTAAATAACAGATAGCTCTCAACATATACTCAACATATGGACCATGACCAGTCTTCTCCAAGAAATGCAGCTCGTCCGTATACTCTCGTCCCACTCAAGACTGCTGCAGCTGACCACCAGAGATTTTCGTCTTCTTGTCACAACTTTGCAATTTATTTTGATTCCAGTTAAAACCAAGTGGAATCCCAAAGCATGCTTTTAAGCAATGAACCAATTAAACTCTCCAGTCTAGTCCACCTGTGTGTCCAAGGTCAACTTTCTTTTGTAGTAAGTGCAGGTCCCTTGGTATTAACCATTACAGGCAAATCTAGTGGCCGCATAGGGAATTATGTGCCCCAAGTTCTTCAAGGTGAACATGACTAGTCTGCTGCAGGCTGCACCTCCTTTTCCAACAATGATGTCCCCTTAAATATTGTTAACTGAAGGATCCTTGTGTACTTAAACATCTGCTCAAGAGAGGTACTCAACGTTGAGAACTTAATCAAAATAATTTCCACTCCATCCCCCAAACCCATAAGGGAAACGAGACAGAAGAAATAGATAAATAAAACCACCATTCAAATCTCCACCATATTTAAGAATCAGAACGAGAGAATTATTTAAATTAAAATAAAGTAGGTCCTCCATTTTTCTTTATTTCAATTAGAATCTCGTAAGCTTAAGATTGACTTTTGCACGCTACTCTGATATTAAAATTTGAGAGAGATTAAATTGGAATTGGAACAGTGGACCCCCCTCCTCTTCTTTTTATTTCATTTCTTTGGACCTCAAAAGAATTTGTCGATATTTCCGATTCAACAATCACTTAAAAAATGATGTTCGGGATAACCTTTTTTTATTACTCTTAACCAATCACTTAAAAATGATGTTAAGGATAACCTTTTTTTATTACTCTTAACCATGTTATCTAACGGCTTAAATTTGCACAAGCCCCTACACAAGTAGATGGGGTTCGTTTTTTCCCATCAAAGCCTTGAAAACAATGGGTAGCAACAAGACTTGAACCTAGACCTTGCCTTATTTGATATCATATTAAATCATTTAATCTAAAAGTTTAAGTGGTTAGAAAATGGTACATGTATTCATTTAAATCGTCTTCAACGATTTCATATTATGTTTCTGGATATTGTCAAAGCAAGCAGAACAAAAAACGAGAGAAATCATCCCTAAGAGACTCATGGAAGTGCACTTACTTGTTCGTCACTCATCTTTCTGAAGCCTAACTTCTTCGTCCACATAGATTCAGCTTCCTCAGCAGCAGGGAGTACCAAAGTTTTTACATTCATAGAGGAAAGTAGCCTCTCAATGCATGAAAACAGTGCTTGAAAATAGCCCTAAGTGAAAGAAGTTTTCACACGTTAATGGTGATTGGCAGTAAGAAAATTGGCAAACTGATGGAACGAAAACTCGGTGACAACAGAATAATGCAAAAGGACTAAGCTCCCAGCCCAAAGATTAAGAAAACGGAGAGCAACTAAATTAACACTTCGATAGCTAGAAAACACCACTATCCCCATTATTTTGAGTACAAAAACCATCTCACATGTTAGCAACTTACTTTTCTTTGTTTCGATCTACTTGTAGCCACTAAAGGAAGCTCTGCTACCTCTCGTCCAAAAATCCGGATAAGACCAGCTGATACAACTACTGACCTGAATGCAATTAAAAGCCCATTTTTTATTCAAGAGAATTAACCAAATCACGAAATGCTGGAACAAATGAATGGCGGTCAACAAAAATGTAGGTATTATTCAACAGATTGACTTACTTTACTATTAAAACAATACAATACATCCCACTAAATTCTTGCCCAGATATGTTTCTCCTGCAAAAGTGTTGCAACAATATTTTTAGAATAATTAAATGAAGAATATAAATATATATGTCAAAAGTTAATTATTTACAATAGGATATTTAAAATTTCTAGTTCTAATAGGTTTTCTCTTTTAATTCTTATTCCTTGTTTAGAATATTATTTCTAATTTCTTTTAGACTATGATTTTTATTATTTTCCTTATTTTAGTTTCCTTATATTAATAGGATTTAGGAATAATCTTGCTTTGAATATATTGAATAATAATTGATTGTTATAAAAAAAAAAGGTGTATTAACGCCTTTGTATTTATAGGAAAAATTATTCCCTAATCGTATTAATATAAGGAAACTAGTAAAAACCTAATTTAAATGAAATTAGAAATCATATTCTAAACAAGAAGTAAGAATTAAAAGATAAAACGTAACCCGAACATCCACGGTTATCAAAAAATAAAAGATAAAAGATAAAACCTATTAAAACCATAAATCATAAATATCCTATTGTAAATAACTAACTTTTATCCTATTTATAATAGGATTGTCCTACATCAAATATGTAAGAAAATTGGTTAATCAGAACTAAAATTACAAGAAATCATACAATTCTTAGATGTTACCCCAATACTGAAGTATACAACATTGACCCAAAAATTATAGTTTCACAGCACTGTAGCTTTATGCATGAACCATAAAACAATTAAATTAAATGAAAGCTATTGCAGTCCTGTATGCCATTTAAAATTCTCTGACCACTTGACACTGATTGACTTGTATGGTAGTACCAAGGTCTGATTGTTATGTACAGCATCACAAGAAACATCTTGTACCATTACAAGAATCAAATTAGAAGTACTTAACTTTTAACTAACTATTACCTCGGTATGAATCATCACTAAATTCTTTTAAGTTAATATCAAGGAGACACTAAACTGGAAAGAGAGCAATCCATGTAACAAACAGAAAGCTCAGTTTGGTGTATAATCCGTATAATCTCCCATATTTTTGGCCTCATTTGTTTTAAGGAGAACAAAGCGTAATATTTTACCCCACAATCTCCGGATAAGTTATTTTTCCCTAGACTATCTACATGAACCTTCATAGAAAAATATAGTCAAATTCAAATATAAACCTAAAAGACCCCAGAAAACCAAATTCTTCAAAACAGGAAAGCGATCATTTAACTAACATGTACCATGGACAAAAAATATCTAGAAAAGGTCTCCTACTATTTTTGGCCCCATCTGTTGCATGGAGATCAGAATGCTTTATTTTCCCCACGATCTCAGGATAAGATATTTTTTCCCTAAGCAATCTACATGAACCCGTAAAGAAAACCATACTCAAATACAAATTTCAAACCTAAAAAGACCCCAGAAAACAAAACTCTTAAACAGGAAAGCAATCATTTAACTGTTCTTCTACTATATAACAAATCTAGAAAAGGAGTTCATTCTTCAGAATTGAGCCTGCGTACAATTTAAAAGCAAACCAATTTTTCTCCAATCTAAGTTCTTCAAAGCAATCACTGTGTTTCTGATCAATATAAAGATAATGAGCTAAACACCAGAGGATGAAAGTGAGGCAACTTACCCATACACCATAACAGGTATGAGATCTCGACCAGATTTGGAAATAATAGGATCAAAGCGCTCCTGCACAATGGATTGAACATGAAAATAAATTACAAGACTTCTTCGAAGTACAGTAAGAATACCATGCCAATAGCGCTATCCACGTCAACAGAGAGCCAGCAATTCACAAAAAGGTAAGATACGTGGAAGATGCAAGAAATGGCACAAATATTTTAATACAGCCTGCAATCCGAAGTAGTATATATCGGATATATTAGCTTTATACTTGCAAAATTTTTAGAAATTCGATTAATTAAGGAAACCTACTGATCTTCTGCTAGTGGAAGAGCACGTATTCCTGTATCAGATAACATATTACAAGACAACATCCTGTGGTAACAAGCTGACTTGGTTGTGCTAGCTTATACAGGAAGTATAACAGAATCCTGTAGACAGTTGATAACTGCACTTAAGAGAGATCCTCTCTTGACCTTCTCTCCTGATTTTCCCACACGCAAAATCTTATTAAAATTTTCTGTTATTTAGTAGGATACATAACAATTCAGAAGGTCCTTGGAACTGAACTCTCTCCTTCAAGTTGTCAAGCATTCCTCTAATTCAGAACTAACCAAAGAAATGGCTGATGTAATCAATGACTCCCACCAACCCACACGCCTTATTTCCCTTGACAATTCTAATGTACAGCATTGGTTTCAAGGTATCTTTTAGCTAACATACTCATTAAGCACTACTCAACTTTGGCTCAATCTGCTGAAATCCAAGGAACGTATTAGCACAGTTGGAAATGTCCAATACAGTGACATTTTCTCCCCCAATCTACATTCAACTCTTTCTAGAAGAGGTTAAAAAATGTAGAAGATACTCTACAAAAGGTAAAGAGAAAAAACATACACGAAAGCTAATAGAAGACTTCATACCGAAGAATACTTGATATTGAAAAGCTGCTTTATACTCAATTATTATGAATCCAGGGATTCTAGATACTTGCATCTATGTAACAATTCCAAAAACATAATCTACATAAAACCCTTTCTAGAAGAGGTTAAAAAATGTAGATGATACTCTACAAAAGGTAAAGAGAAAAAACATACACGAAAGATTGCTGCAGCACGGGAAAGCAGCAACAAATGCTGTGGATGGCGACTTTTTCCACTTAAAATTCGCCAATGAATGTCATTTCTATAACCATCACTTAGACCTCTGTCTGCATGTTTTGTAGCTAGTGCAGCTAACACAGGAGCTGGAATCACCTCAGGTCCACCGGAAGCAAAGTTCTGAAGTGCCACATAAATCTTATGGCACTTGTCACAACAAAACCATTTATCCTGGGGCAGTTCCTGTACCAATTTGGCAAAACATCAATTAGTCACAAAGGACCAATGATCTAATACTCTCTTGACATGATAACATCTCATACTTACTTTCAGATCACAGAGCCCAGATTCCCGCAGGCAGCCGACATGGTATTCCTTCTCACACTACACAAGAAGAGAGTAAAAATTTAATATATTAAAGCACCCAAAAGAGGAAGTTCATTATGAAGTCCAAGAAGATAGGTAAGAGTGTACTTGATCACAGAGTATCACGGTACGGTCATCAAAGTTCGCAGCACTAAAGTCCTGGGACCTATTGAGCATGAGACAAAAAGAAATCAGTGACCTAAACATGACCACATATGCATAGATATATTCCAGTCAGAATGTAAGAACTGTGAAAACCTTTATTGATATTTGAAATATAAATAGATCGTGTTGCATATAATAATCAACTAAATATCTATCTAGCTCACAAAACTTAAGGTTAAAAGGCAAGTATATATTATAGATCAATCACCGTATATTCTTAAATGCAAGGAACTTATACATCAGTAGAATTTCATGTCTATATGCAGCATTGATTCCAATAACCTAACCAATTTCTATTACCATTTCGTTGCATTATTCATTATTAGGTAATTATTATGTATTCATTGTTCCACAGGTGCCTTCTTCTGCACTTTTTTCCTTTGGCCCAAGTCTTCACAAATCATTGCACAATTTTTCTTTTGGTCACTCATCAGACTAAGCTGACTATTCATACAGCCACAGCTACTAATGCTATAAATTATCATGGACAATGATACATGTCACCACATAACATTCACATGGTAAGAAAACCCTTGTTACAGGCTTACAGCTAGTTCTCTGCATTAAATTCACCATGGAATGAAAAGTCACTACATTCACCAGTTGGTATATAATTTATAACAATATCAATGCTAAATGCAGAAGAATACTCATGTGAAGAGTAGCCTACTCACAAACCTATTAAAAGTGATTCCTCCCACACAAGCAAAAAATATGACAAAACAAAGAAGGATCCATATAATTTTTAATAAATAAACTAGCCAAATAAAGCTTAGTTAACTTAAGAGGTTGAATATGTAGGGAGTTCCACAAAAGGAAACATTTCAAGCTGATTATTCACTTCCTAATATAAATTGGCGTGTAACAATCCAGTCAAAATGAAAGTAAGACAAGTATATGAACAGACTACAACTAGTGCAACAAACCTGCATACAACACAACCACCAGGTTCGGACTCTGGTGCTTTAACAACTCTTGTCAGCCGAATGATATTAGGTCTTGACTCCTCAGCTGCTCTCTTACAAGGTCCAAATTTGTCTCTGCAGAATGGACAGTGCCAATCATTGGCAGGGAGACACTGTAAACCCAAACAAGCTGCAAGAACACGTGCTTCATTGAGATTCAACCATAATAATGTAAACTAGAAACAGTAAAGTGGAAGGTCCTTAAAAAGTAGAAGATATTATCTAATCCTTCCAAGAACAGCCAAATGATCTAGAGCTTTAATAATAGTAGCATGGGTCCAATAGAAATCCTGCGGTAAAGAAGCTAATGCAAGAAAGCATTTTATAACACAACAAATGGCAGCAGTGGGATACCCAGGACAAAGGAAAAAGGAAAAAAAATGGGTGATGTGAATGAATTCCCCAACTCCAAGGAAATAAAAAGTAGACCAACAATGAAAAGAATAAAAAAACATGAAACCGCCTTATGTGTAAACATATTTTGAGAACATGCACATATCAATTAGATTATTATTATTTAAGCGTAAACATAATATGACTTCAGCGGGCATTAGCATTCACAATCGGTAAAAGATGGCCTCATCAACCATAAAAGATCAAGAGATGAAGTAACCATCTATTACTTCAGGGTTCAAAACATAACAGCAATTCATACAGCAAAACATGTCATTCAATTCAAATATTTTAACCTGGTTTTTGGCACTAACGTGGACTTGGCACCAGAGAAAGATTGAGTTTCAAAATAAGAATCAAATATATTATGTTGAACTACTACGTCTAAAATCTTAAGTTGTTAGAGAGAGCCACATATATATCTTCTAAATCTTGCCTTCAACAAATTCACTACCAAAGTGAGTTGTTTATTGGTGAGTTTACATGTTAAAATAAAGTAGAAGATTCAAAACATACGTACAGAGAATTAACATCTATTGTGGGTCAATGAAAGCCTGATTCAACCACAAAACTAAAGCAAAATAAAATTAATTAAAGAAAAATACCTGCATGAAAAGCCCGAGGGCAACCATTACATATAATAAGTTCCCCTCCATCCCCGCATACAGCACACATATCATCACTGCTACCAGTGGCAAGATTTTGACCATTTGCCAACATTAAAGCTACATCATGAAGTGTCAAGCCACTGGATGTATAGATATGACGATATCTGTGGAAGGGTGGAAAGTTTAGATCACTGCATGTTAAACCTAAAATACAAGGAACATTTTAGTTTCTAAGAAACTATTTACGGTTGACGTTTTGCTGCCCATCCAGCATGGGCCTCGAACTGGGAAGGACTAATCTGTTTCCAAGACAATAGAAAGCATCAGAAAGGCAGAGGGAAGGCGATGAAGAGAACCAATAGGGTAGTTTGTTACTTGACTTAGTACAATACATGGAAGGAAAATTTTAACAGGAAGCTATGAGACATTACCGCAGTGTTACAACAACTACAGACTATACCATTCCCTTGCTTGTAACCACCAATAATCCTCTGTTCAAAAATTTGCCAAAAATTATCCGGCAATTAATAAACAATGAGAATTAAAAATATCATAAATGTGCAGAGAATGAAAAACAACCTTTCCTCTCGAATAGTAAGCCAAATCAGTCCCATCCGGAAGTCCATTTGGCATGAAAAGCAATCGATGTAAATCATTATCCCTGTCATACATAGGCCCCATAAATGAAAGGTAGGTGAAGCAAATTTTACGAATGTTCAAAAAAATAAAAATAAAGGGCATGTTCTATAAGAGATGGATAATAAAGATAAATATGAAGGTAAGCTTGCCTTTTTTTCGTGCCACCTTCAAAAGATCTCTTATGTTCTCCAACTGAACTAGAAAAATAGTGTCTCGGCCTGTACAACAACTGCATATTAGCAACCAAGACAACAAATTTTCTATTTTTTGTTTTTAATACCTATTTTTTTGAAGAGAGGAATAGATAAAGAGCAAACTTTTTGATCAAGCGCTTCTGCTCTGCTGGGGCCTCTACATAGCTCTGCTGATTTAAGGCCTTGTTGTGAGAATAAGAACAAGCAGGAGTTCCAGAGTCTTCAGTAGTCTGACTCAGATAGCTGCGAGATAATGTAAACAAAGAGAATAACTCAAGGATAAATAGTAGTTCCATTAACATCAAATTGTCACTGGTTAGAATAATTCTCAAAATCGCAAGATCATGGAAACTATCTGCTTAACTCCTCAATATACCAATAACGGCCACAAATGCTCCATGCAAACTTAGTGGTCTAATTGAAACCACCAGGCATTTAAAATAAGCATTAAGCAACATGCCTACTGCTGCAGAAGATTCTTTACAGTGTTCCACAAATCAAATACCATCAGCAAACCCATTATACACTTATTGTTATCATATTATGCTTTATTTGTTCGCAAACCAGGAGCAAGCCCATAAAAGAAAAACTTGGAGGAACAACAGTTTAGCATGCAATGCATTATTTCTATACTCTATTTTCGTAAGACTAAAATCTAAAGAGTTTAAAAGGGAACAGTGTGGCATAAGCTTCACGGAAGTTCTATTTCAAAGTGCGCACAACGTGTTAGCCCAGAGAAACTGGAATTTTCAAGATAATGCTACATTAAGATTATCAGGGAAAATAAGCGAGGTAATTATGAAAAATAATGCCTAGAAGTTAAACATAAATTGTATTACACGGGCATTTCTGGTTGAATATACCACGCATGTTCAACACTACCCGTGATTGATGTCAGCAAGGATACAAAGTACTTTAATGCCAACAGTATAAATGAAGAGTTAAGATTCAGTTATCAACAGCAAAAGTTGACAACAATAAAACATATAGAATCATCAGTGACGATAGTGTAATTTTCCACATGTTAAAAGTCAAATAAGTTACACAAAGTAATCTCCAAACACTGTCCACGCATATAAGGATTTCATATGACGACAATTGAATAAACAAACAGAAGTTCAAATCCTCATTTCAAGCAATGGAACTGACTTACTATGTTCTAAACTGCTCATATATGAAATGCGCTGAAGCAGATTTGCTTTCTGTTTCTTTTACTTTTTCCCTATTGAATTCAATCCCTATAAATGGGGGAGCCTTTGGAAAGAGAAGGGGGAGAAAGGGATAGTTGGAACAATTCAATTCTATTCAAGAATTATATGTACCTGATTGCGGAGGGGTGTGTTCCAAAGCAATGGCTGTGACGAATTTGGTCGGCATAGACCATCTCATTATCATGTTGAAGGTTTGCTGCAACATCCAAGAGAACATTAGAATGCATACAACGTAAGGAGACAAAAGCTCCTAACTTAACACCATAAGGAAGACAAGTAACAAAAAACCTAAAAGAATAAAAGGTCCTAATCTAAAAAGTAGAATTCTACTACAACAATAAATAATTTTTATCCTATTCGTATGAATAGGATTGTCCTACATCAACATGCTCGAGCTGCCCCTACATAGGCAGGGGTTTTCCAGGGGACTAATAACTGGGTCACCATCAGGAGCATACCAGCTTGCCCACTGAGATAGCCACGTAGGGTGACTATTCTGCCCTTAGAACATGAAAGTTTGCAATTGTCCTGTGTCTTCCATTGCACAATTAGAAATTTATACAGCACTTCGACTCTTCTAATCATAGTTAAGACAGCGAGCTATTTCAAAGAATTAGTCCAAGTTCAAGCTCTATGCATTTAAATAAATGATTATGATAATTCGAAACTGAAGCTTCATGCTGACACTCAGATATGTGAACACAAACATCATGTGTACATAACTCAACCAAGACACCTTACCAAGTGCAAACGCAATAATCATCATAAAAAGACTTCTATGATGCGTCAAATGTTTACATAGAAATACTGTAATTAAACTTGCTAGAGCATTGTATCCAATCTTTCAATCATTATTTGACAACCAGTATTTGAATCCTTATATATTCCTCCACATTCACTGCCTATGCGGAAATACTAACATATCAAGACAAGCTTTGCACACATTTATTTCAATTATGTGAAAAGACCTTTTCTTATATCCAACCACCTTCAATTCCATAAAACCTACAAAACAAACTAAGCTTTGTTCACAATAAATGCCTAAGATAAAAAAAAAAAAAAGCCGAATATGAATTTTTTTTTAATAGTATTTTGGAATAACCTTTCCAAACTTGGAAGTACTCTTCATTGACGGAAGAACCAGCCACATCTTGTATTACTTCATCTAGCATGCTGAGAGGTGCAGTCTTCATTTCTCGAATTATACTGTGAATGGGCTTCCCATTCTCCAGATATATATTATTATTTGGATGTCTAGTCTTGCTACCAGCATGCACTTCGAACTCATATGCACTAACCACCTGCTTACACAACTCATTCCTTCAGTAACATTGAAATACACAAACGCCTGACCGAAGTTAACAATTTTAACAGCAGGGGCTGCTTACTTTAGAGAAGTTGCAAATTGAACAACCACACAAATAACCACCATCTTTTATGATTCCTGGAACCTCTCTCTGGTAATCAATGAGACAAAAATAATTATTTGAAAAGCAGATGAAAACTGTATCTTAAAAATGAAGAGGTGCAGGATACAAACTTACCTCCCTGGAAATAGAAATATACTTCACTCTTGCTCCTTCCAGAATTCTAGTAGACAGAAGCTCTTTAACATTTGTTGGGTAATTCTCTGGAATTACCTTCTTAGACATCTTCAATTCCCTGTTGGGTACACATGGGAAAGGACTTTGGGTTTCATGAAAATCATTCACATCTTTGGATGAGTTCATTTCTCCGTTCATATCACCAAAATCAAAAGCATTCCACGCATTTTTGTAGTGATTGCTTGGTATGGGCTGAGAAACAGGACCACGTGATGGATTGTCAACATAGTAATTAGGAAATCCATTATTAGTCAAAGGCTCAGCAGCAGGAACCGCCAAGTAAAAATCCTCCTTGGGTTTGCTAAACTTAAATGTGATCTTCCTTATACCAGTGGTGCTAACATCCTTCGGAATTTCGAGCACAACACGGGAAACAGTAACTGATTCTGACGTTTCATTTCTATTGTGCTCTTCCTCGCACAAACTTCTGTTGCTCAAGTTTCGGGAACATGAATATAAAATCTCTCCAGAACCAACACGGTCCTTTCCAACCATTTCAGCTCGTTGGCTAATAGTGGTCACGCTTGAAGTAACATCCTTGGGAGACAGAAATGGATTTGAAACTTCAGATAAAATATCATCATTGGACGCCTCTTTCACTTGATTATTAGCGTAAGGCTCCAATTCAACGTCATTTGGTGCTTCTGTCACCTTATCTTCAGCAGAAAAATGCTCCAAGTCACCATCTTCTAGTGCTTTCATAACATGATTATCAGCAGAATGTACCACCTCAAGGTCATTTGTTGCTTCCTTCAGCTCTAGTTTAACACCATTTAACACTTCTTTTAACAGCCTTTGCTCACAATTTTCATTAAAAGCTTCATTTTTGCCACTTTCAGCAAAGGGCCGCAACTCCCTACTGTTCAAAACTTCCTCTCTTACATCTTGAGCCCAAGCATCTAATTCACTACTTTTTATAATTCCTTTGTCTTGGGTATGAGCTAAAGGCTTTGATTCTGAATCATTAGGAACTTCCTCTGCCTGGCTTTCAGCCCAAGGTTGTTTTTCAGTACCATTCAAAACTTCTTTTATCTCCCCTTCGAAATGCTCTAACTTATTATTGTTCAAAACTTCTATATTATGGCTCTCAGTGATAGGCTCTAAATCAGATTTATTCAAACCTTCACTTGCCTTTCTTTGAACACAAGATTCCTTTGCCTGTCTCTTCGCATAGGGTTCTACTTCAGCACCATCCAACATCCATGGCTGGTCGCGCTTCACTTCGAGTTGCTTGTCAATATCCATCAATCCATCGTTCAAAACAGACATGCAAACTTCACCTTCACCTTCCCCCATCCAGATATACCTCCTCTGCTAATACGGAATTAATATTGAACCACGTGCATACAGAAGACCGCATTCAAAGATGCAGTCATGCTGATAACAAAAAGGCACTCAAGTACGTGATTATCTGGGTAATTATCTATCAAACTCCAGCTTCCAATTTTCTCCAACAATTACCACGAGCGTCCGAAATTCCAACCGCAGGAAATTTTAAAGGAAATTGAGTATCTGAATAGCACACTCCACGACCTCTTTTATCCACGGTAACGCGGCTGACGCCTGAGGGAATGAAAATTTCAAACAGAGTCGACTCTTATGTTTTACAAATTTCAATTTTCAAATCAAACAAAGACTACGAATTAATATACCTCTTCAATACAAGAAACTGCGTATAGAAACGAAACTATAATTCTTAAATCTGAAAATACTCCACAGATCTGAATACCAGCACATGAACAGCCATCCAAATTCCTTTCTATGCTATGACATCTATATAAACGTCTATAATTTTTAGAAAACGTGCATGTATATACAAAACAAGATCTACTATTTGAATTATAACAAGAAAAAAAAAGGAAAAATATGAAAAATGTTAGGGTTTTGGAAAAAAAAAATCTTGCTTTGATGAAACGAATAAAGCGGCAACAACCTCAACTGACAACGTCGATTCACAGTACTGAATTAATATTAAAATAATTCTGTATGCAATAAATATTTGCCTATATAACTATTTGTATTGTATAGTATAGATAGACAGACAGAAGAAGTCGTTTTGGTATATGGAAGGGACGAGAAGACGGCGGAAATACGTTTAGGAGTGAAATTGACCGTTCTGCCTTTTTATATAAAACTAAGGGTGGGGCCAATGTCCTTATACCTTAGGACACGTGGCTATTAGGTATACTGTGACTTTGTGATCTGTCCTTGATAAACCCGTCCGATGTAAAACATGTAGGGACAGGATGAGCCTGACTTTTCATCTGTTTCCCTCCATTCGTCTCCAATTTCAACTAAACTCGCGCTTTTTAAACTGCCGAGAATTGCAGGAAAAGAATTGGAGGAGATTTTTCGCTCTGATTTGAAACGGCCTAGTTTCTTCTCGAATAATGCTATTCATAATGAGGATTTTCAATAGTTGTTTTACGTGACATACATGTAATAATTTGTTGTTTAATACATTAATGTATAAATTTTTTATTGACTCGTGTATCAAATAACAAACTGTCACATGTATGCCACTTAAAATGACTACTGATAGTCCTCACTAGCATTACTCTTTTTTCTCGACTCTTTTGTATTGGTGGGAACACTGGAAAATATAAAATAGTACATCTTCCTTGGCATTTGAAGTAATAAAAAATGAGTGGAGGGAAAACTGTTTTTTTTTTTTTTAACGGTCAAACTTGGTGTAATGTACACCAAGCAGAACTGTTAATAAATAGGATCTTGCTACTTGTCCATGGCAGCTTTACAGAAAGGGTAACAAAAGGAAATGATCTTGTTGATATGGTTGTTATTTGATTTAAAATAAGATAACAATTAAGCGAATTGTATGAAAGTTATTTACACCTTTGTTGGTATATAATAAGGTAGCATTCATTTTGGTTTCGAATAATGATATTCAAATCAAGGATCAAAATGTATGACATCTAATCATTTCTCAAACTTTTAGAACTTGTTTGGGAGAGATTTTTGAGGGAAGAATTGATTTTGAATAGTGATATGATGGGAAATGTGTGGTTGAAAAAAAAAATTTATTGATGTGATGAAAAATATTATTTTATTGAAAAATGTGTGGTTGAAAATGAGAATTGATTTACTGTAGAAAAATCTAATCCCTCCCAAATAGGGCCTTAATAAAACCAACCGTACATGAAGCATACCTCAAAAGATGATGCTAATCCCTTCTCTACTTCTCCTCCATATAAATTTTTTATGTTTTTGTCCCAATTTTTTAAGTTATTACGGGATGTCGACCGAAGTCGAAATATTACATTCTTAATATCATTTCAAAGTGTTCACAGCTTAATTTTTAATGTCATTAAAGACACATGGAACGGTTAATCATAACAAATGTTAAGGTGTGTCAAAGTATGTCGTTCAAAACTAGTATTTCGATAATTTCGATAATATGCTAACTTTAAAATTTTCCCAATGATCATATGCTAGCCGAATTTACAAATCACCCACGTCGCCTCAAAGCTTGTCTCAAGAACTATATCGTAGACATCGAATGGTCTGAAAGAATATCGAAAATAATTAAACGTTCATATTAAAAGGAAACATCTTAACTCGTCTTTTTTTTTTTTTTAATTTTCAATTATTTCATTAACATTTATTATTTTTGATCAAATATTTTTTAATATAATTTACATTATTTTATTAAAAATTTTACATGGGGTATGACGTAAAAAAAATTTAGTTCGTTACAAGTTTGGTTTGCGAATTGCGATGGTATGTTCATATCAAACTATTGTTCTCTGTGACTAATTAAGTTTTTTGTCTTTCATCTTAGAAATTAATATTTTACTGAATTTTTGATTGGGACGATGGGTGAACAAGGGTTGAAGTCGATCGATAGTTCGATCCCTATTGTTGTATAAAATTAAGTTGTTCCTTCAAAAATTATCATACCACAGCAACTTGAAAGGAGCAAAACTCGCAGTCCGATCTTATAATGATTAGAAAATTTTTGTCGTACCCCATGTAAAATTTTCTAATAAAACGATGTAAATTATATTGAAAAAATTGTCATGCAAAAATAATCAACGTTAATGAAATAATAGAAAAATTATAAAGAAAATACGAGTTAGATATCTCTTTTTAAGATGCGTGTTTAACTATTTTCAAATCAAGGATCAAAATGTATGACATCTAATCATTTGTCAAACTTTTAATAAAACCAACCGTACATGTAGCATACCTCAAAAGATAATGCTAATCCCTCCTCTACTTCTCCTCCATATAAATTTTTTATGTTTTTGTCCCAATTTTTTAAGTTATTATGGGATGTTGACCGACGTATAAATATTACATTCTTAATATCATTTCAAATTGCTCATAGCTTAATTTTTAATGTCGTTAAAGACACATTAAACGGTTAATCATAACAAATGTTAAGGTGCGTCAAAGTATGTCGTTCAAAACTAGTATTTCGATAATTTCGATAACATGCTAACTTTAAAATTTTTCCAATGATCATATGCTAGCCAAATTTACAAATCGCCCACGTCGCCTCAAAGCTTGTCTCAAGAACTATATTGTAGACATATCAAATTGTCCGAAATAATATCGAAAATAATTAAACGTGCATATTAAAAGGAAACGTCTAACTCGTCTTTTCTTTAAAATTTTCAATTATTTCATTAACATTTATTATTTTTGCTCAAACATTTTTTTAATATAATTTACATTATTTTATTAAAAATTTTACGTGGGGTATGACGTAAAAAAAATTCGGTTCGTTACAAGTTTGGTTTGCTAATTGCGATGGTATGTTCATATCAAACTATTGTTCTCTGTGTCTAATTAAGTTTTTTGTCTCATCTTGGAAATTAATATTTTACTGGATTTTTGATTGGGGACGATGGGTGAACAAGTGTTGAAGCCAATCGATATTTCGATCCCTGTTGTTGTATAAAATTAAGTTGTTCCTTCAAAAATTATCATACCACAGCAACTTGGAAGGAGCAAAACTCACAATCCATCTTTTAATGATTCAAAAATTATTGTCATACCCCACGTAAAATTTTCTAATAAAATGATGTAAATTATATTGAAAAAATTGTCACGCAAAAGTAATCAACGTTAATGAAATAATAGAAAAATTATAAAGAAAATACGAGTTAGATGTCTCTTTTTAAGATGCATGATTAACTATTTTCAATATCATTTTGACTACTTTGACATGTCTACGATATAGTTCTTGAAACGAGCTTCGAGATGACGTATATGATTTGTAGATTCGACTAGCGTATGATCGTTGGAGAATTTTTAAAATTAGTATATTATCAAAATTATCGAATTACTAGTTTGGAATGTCCTTCTTTCATGTGCCTTCACATTTGCAACGATTAATCGTTTCACGTATTGTTAACAACATGAGAAAATAGGCTGTGAACATTTTGAAATGATACTAAGAACGTAATATTTTGACTTTGTTTCGCATCTCATGATTATCTCAAAAATTGAGACAAAAACGTAGAAAAAATTTTATGGAGGAGATGTAGAAAATTGATTTACATCATCCTCATTATTATTATCAAGGCCACGTTTGTTTCAGATTAAAATCAAATTTTAATATAAGTCAAAGTCAAACAATCAATATTAACTACATCTTTCATAGATCCCACAACTTTTCAACAACACATTTCAAAAATTTCTATCACAATCTACTAAAAATCTAATATTAATCCCCACCAAACACCCACTAAGTCAAATAAATGCCACGTCAACGTGATCAATTCCTTCTATAACCCTTTCTGTAAAGCTGCCTACATCTCATGTACGAGTAACAAAATTCAAACGTTCTTCCTCGAAAAGGATATAGTAAAATTGTAATTCCCCCATATGTTAATTGTAGTCCATGTTACACCACTTGACGCTCTTTGGTTGGCTATGAATATGACAATATGTCTATCTTTACAACCGTTAAAATAACATTTTTTAAAAAAATTATTTGTAATCACACATTTTTATAATCAAATATTATGCATGTAAATCCAATTTTTTTTCATAATTTTTAAACCCACATTCTTCAAAAAATTATTTAAAAAAAAAAACTCATTTTAATGATTGTGTATCCATATTATTGTGTAGCTCGTAAACATTCTTCAATCATGTTATGTGTACAAGAAAAGCACTATTAAGGAACACTTGCATTTTTTGACTTGAAAGATAGCCAAAAATGAAAAGAGGGAATCACGGGTGTTGCCGACAGACAGAATTATCCTTAGTAGTTGACTTGTTGTACTGATTTCTCAATTCCACCAACTTGTGTTGACTTTAATATT